TTATGTCTTTTGAATCAACTGTTCTAAAATGTTCTTATGTCTTAAATTTTAGGTTTTTGCTACAGCAGCGCCATCCTAATTCTTCCCTTTTTTTGACCATTTTTTAATGCACGGAGTTGTTTCTCCTTACCTCTACACTCCATACCCTGGAGTGACCAAGATGTTGACTGGCTCTAAACCATATCAAGGCCACTGATCATAGAATAACTAACTGAAAGAAATGAAAACTCCTATGTTAAAGCCTGGAAACACGCGCTCGACGCGATCCAAGCGGGCTACTGGCAGAACTAAAAGTTCGCGCCATATTTTTAAATGGGCCTTTACTGCCAGTTCATAAGTTTTTTACTTATATTTGGTAATTTCAATCTAGATTATAAACTTATTTGTAACAAAACATTTTACAAAATAAAAATAATGTATTTTGATACAAATAAATTAATAATCTAGGTTGAAATTATCCCTGATATTAGAATAAAACACGAAAAATTTGTAACTTGATTATTTTATTATAACATTGTTAATAAAATTACATATAACACATTCAACACTATACAAGTATATATAAAAGGTATCAGAATTTATACAATCAGTAATAAGTAATTATAAAAAAGGTTATAAATTATAAATAAATAATTTATTATATAAAAGACTTAGTTACCGTGAATATAATTTGGTATAACTTTAATCTCAACTTTAATGACCTATTCAAATAGAAACATCTTACAATTCACATTATATAATACACAAAGCCAAGGGACAAATTGTTAGCAAATCTATTCTCGATGACTGAAACTTAATTTTTTTTCAAATAAAACAGGACATATAGGGCTTATAAATAATACAAAGGGTATAGAAATACTAAATAAGTAAAATATATTTTCAAGCTAATGATTAATGATTATACTCGTTTAAATAAATAAATGATCTTTTTAAAATTACTTGTTTGTCTTTGCAAATTTGTATATTTAATATTTATCTAAAAGCGTATACTTACATAAATTACTGCACAACCTTTAAAATTAAGCTTTTAATATTTTTTTTTTTTTTTTTTGAAAATTAATTTATAAAACCATAAAATAAAACTTTAAAATGTGATCTTTGAAATTTCTGAGACAGCCATTTTGTTGAAGAATTTGTTTTGATTATGAGAAATTTCATAAAATTATCACAGGGATTAATTAATCTATATATTAAACTATGGCTTTAAATTTCACAATCCTATCGTCAAAAATACTCTAAATTCGCAAAATCCGTAAAATATTCCCATAAAAACAAATGCAAATTCACTTCACTTCACAGAAACTGACAGACATTGCCAAATTTGGAATGACGTTTATTTTCAATTGTTTACTGATCGGCTTTGGCCGGTCGCCCAGAAATTAAATTTTTATTAAATTATTTAATTATAATTGTTTCTGGCGAAAGCAACTTCATATCAATGTTTATTCATAGGGTAACAAAGCACATCACTGTTAAATTATCAACATTTTATATATATATTTATATTTTTCAACTACTCTAACTACTCCAATTACTCCACAGAGAATCAAACGAATTGTTAATTAAACTATACTCTGTGTACTCTGTGGATGACTTGATAAAATCATGATGAAATTAAAGTCCCTAGATGAATATCTAGGGACTTTAGATGAAATTTCTACGCAGCGCCATCTATCCCTCTACTGGCAGAAACTCCGCCGTGTTTCCAAAATTCAAATGGCAGTTTCATCCGCCTGCCACTGATTCTTATCTGAGTAAAATCATAGTAATGTATAATCTATTTAAAATTTTGATATAATAACTTCTGTGAAGGTAACCTGTGACTGTAAAATGTTATTATTATTATTTATTAAATATAAATGACGTGCTGAAAGGAAGATTATATAACACACAAAGGCACATAGGATAGAGGTCACACAAACAGACTGCATTCGGAAACTGAAACAAAAAGAAAATAAAAAATAGAAAGTTGAGCATTATAATTTAATTCTATTAATGTTTAAAAATATCATAATAGTTTCTATTAATTTTTCACTTGGCTTAGACAAAACGGTAAGGGTGTGGATCCGGTGGCTGACCTTGAAGGCCATATTTGCTGCATTTGATCATCGATACTACGCAAGCGCACATCTTCGATGTTGCCAATTTGCAGTTTATTTTCGAATTATTTGCAGTTGAAAAATTTTTTTTAGTGTTAATCAATAATATTCAAATTCTAATTCAGGTATTTCAGTTGGATCAATTAAGATAAGAAGAATAATGAAGATTGTGAAATGAAAGAATTATTAATATATCAAATTGTACTAATAATAACATTTATTTATATATATACATTAAAATTAAAATTATCATGTACGGATTTCTTCTTAATGGTTTTAAACTTATTAGAATTATTTTATTTCTTTCAAGTTATTTAATTTCTAGTTATTTACAGGCAACAATAGTTTTGATTATTATGTATTGATGTTTTGAAATTACCATGACGAGTCTTATACATAGAACAATACACGTCATGTTACTAATATAATATACTTTGATTATAATATTTGTATCATAATTTCTTAAAAATATCAAGTTAGTGGATTAACAGCAATTTTAGACATATATTTTATCGAAGAGTGTGTTGATAAGACTAAAAATAAAGCTTTATGTTTTATCTCTTTAGAGGAGATGGTTTGTGTCTTAGAATACATTACAGTATTTAATATTGTGTACTTTGATATTCTTTTAATTTACTGTAATTTCTTGCTATAATGCCAAATCTTGTCAATATGGTGAAGGTTGAGATATTTGATCTTATTAGTTTTACACCTGTGTTTATACAAGACCAAATTAAGATTAGTTTGTAATTAGTTTGTGATTAATATTAAGATCTTTCTTATAATATTTGTCATGTCTTAATCCTAATACTATATTATGCTTTGTCTGGAAAATAAATGTTAAAATATCTTAATTTTGCATATCCTATTCCATCCTTCCATTAGGAAAATATGGTTTATAAATCATATACATAAATTAGGTGTAAGAATATAGAAATCTTAAGGTAGCAGAAAAATTAATGCAATATATGTATAAGCAGAATTAAACAAGTTAACTGTAAATGTTGCTCAAGATGATTCTACAGTTTTAATTACGGAGGCTAAAGGCCTTTTAAGGCCTCCGTAGTTTGATGGAATGTTAAAAAAACTATTATGAACATGACATGGAGCTACAGCATTTAAAATAAAAAACAACTTGGACACATCCCTTTTAATATTTACCGAATTTTTAATAAAGCACTTTTTAAACGTATAGCATAATAATCTAGAGCAATTAGATTAATTATAGGAATCTAAATTTTATTTCTATTTAATTTTATTGACTATAAAAATACATAATAAGCGTTCACGTTTCACGTGTTGTGCGAAATATTTAAAAATAATAATATAAATAATTATATTGTGTTAATATAAATAAAAAATATAAATAATATACCGCGTACTATGATTGAAAAAATAGCGTCAGCGATGACTATGAAATGAAAGATCGCTGTCATCATTTTATTGAAATGTCCTCAATCGTCATTTCCCAGCCAACTGGACGCCGATTTTTCGATCATACTGTATATATTGACAAAAAAACACAGAAAAGCACATATATGTTTACTACTAAAAATAATTCCAAAATAACTTGCAATCTGGCAACATCGAAGATGTGCGCATGCGTAATGTCTGTGACTATATGCAACAAAAACTCGTTTCAAGGTCAGCCACCGGATCCACACCATTACCGAGATACCGACAAAACTGTAAATATTGATAGTGGAGTAGGAAAATTCATTTCAATAAATGTTTGATATAAATCCAAATTAAACAAAAAATTTATAGGACATTCTAAAAAAGATATGATTTAGGTCTTCAACAGAGCCACACTCACAGAATGGATCTTCCTTCACTTTAATTTTATATAAATAGTTTTTTGTTAAGCAATGGCCTGTACGCATTCTAATTAACGTTATAATATGTCTTCTATCTATATACTGGAAATTTTTTAAACCATTGTTTATCTGGGAAGATTGTTTGTATATTAAAACACACTTTTCCTTTCATACGAGATTTCCAATTTTCCTTATAATTACACAAAATATCAGTTTTAATTAAGATTAAAAATATCTATTGAATCCATCTCCATAGATTTCGGAATATTTAAATCTTTTCCAATATTAGCCAACGAATCTGCCTCTGTATTTCCCAAGATATTGGAATGACCTGGAATCCAGGCAATCCTGATGTCAAAACCATTAGAATTTGCTAAACAAATTAAACGTTTGGTTCTTAAGGTACCGAATTTTCATAAAACACAATGAAATAAAATTATTGACATATTTAAAAAACAAATGAATATTTGTTAACTTCAATTCAAATTAGCGACAAGGGCGACCCCATACGTCAACAATTGATACTTACTTTAGTGACTAGCAGCGCCTCTAGTGTTTGTTCGGCCACTGTAGCTTTTACTTCCAGTCACTGCCATTTAAGAAATTGTTCTAAAGGGGGATATTTTGTGAAATAATTCAAAAATAAACTGCAATTTGGCAACATCGACGATGTGCGCTTGCGTAGTATCGATGATCAAATGCAGCAAATATGGGCTTCAAAGTCAGCCACCGGATCCACACCTTAAGCCCCGTTCTCAGAACTGCGACTGTCGCCAGCGACACGACAAAAGAACCAATCAGATTTGTACAAAATACTTTAAAGCCCCGTTCTCAGAACTGCGTCGTGTCGCGGGCGACACAGATTGACATTTCAAACAACCAATAGGAGCTGTACTAAATTTAAAATTGACAGCTGTTTGAATTTTGTACAAATCTGATTGGTTCTCTTGACGTGTCGCTGGCGACACTCGCTGTTCTGAGAACGAGGCTTAAAGCCCCGTTCTCAGAACTGCGACTGTACAAATCTCATTGGTCCTCTTGACGTGTCGCTGGCGACAGTCGCTTCTCTGAGAACGGGGCTTACCCTTTTTCGGAAAATCCAAAAAATTTTTATAACTTAATTTTTTTTTGTAAAAAAAGGGCGCGTTCAGGGAACACAGCGGCTGACTGATCGCAGAGACTTTTGCTCAGCGGCTGTTTTTGTATGTAAGAGAGCGTTTAGGAAACCGCTTTACTCAGCCACTCAGCCGCTGACCGTCCCTGAATGCGTACAAAGACTCATAAGCGGGCCTCACACGATCAGTATTATGTTGTTCGGGGACGGTCAGTGCCGTCAGCGGCTGAGTAAGCGACTTTCCTAAACGGTCTATTTTTACACACAAAATCGGTCAGCCGCTGAGCAAAATTCTCAGCGGTCAGTCAGCCGCTGTGTTCCCTGAACACATTGCCAGGATATTGTCAGTATTCAAAAAATATATACTTTCAGGATTGCCAAAGTATATCAGTATACTGACAGTCCCATCAGTATTTTTGCCACACAGTCAATATTACCGACAGTTTTTGGAAATACTGTCAATGTGTCAATATACTGATCGTGTGAGGCCCGCTCAGGCCCGCTATAGACGTGTTTCTGGGATCGAAATATACCACTGAAAAAAAATTGCACAATTTGCACTTAGATTCACCCACCGAAAACATGTCCTATGTAAACATGGCTCAAACACATCAAAGCTTATCAAATCCATATCAAAACCAGCCGGTTTATATTTTAACTTCTCTATAAACAAGTGCACTATTTATCTATTGCACTTAGGGTATCAGGGTATCCAATCTCTGGGTATACAAAAACAATGTTATTAAAAACTTAAATTTTTAATGGTATATTTGGCCAACTGGAATATGAACCTTCTTTTAAATGTTCAAAATTTAATTGTATTGCAGTCTCCATACCCATAATTTTTGGAGCGTTGTTCCCATAAATACTTTTCATCTTATTTAGTCGATGTTGTCCTTCAGGTACTTTATTGCTTATTTTAACACTCTCACCTTGTTTTAAGCCTTCTAACTTATCATTCTTATACAAATGTTTGTTTTTGTCTATAGGTTCTGTGTTACTATCTAAATACTCCTTTGTTGAAAGAGACTGTGTGCAATAGTTTTGCAATGTCCCTGTTTTAGTATTCTGCACTAATACATTGTTTCCATAATCCAGTTGTTGGGCATACACATTTCTTAAATGTTCATGTAGCATCCTATTCTCAATTTCCAAGCTAATAGCTCTAGATTTCCAATATGATAATGTATCCTAAAAAATATAATTAGATTAATTTTTATTACTAATATTCATAGTAGACTACCTGTTGATGCCATTCTATAATATCTTTTTGTAAATTGTTTGCTTCACCAACTGGTACCATTTCCATATCAACAACAGTACATTCTTGTACACCAGTGGACAATTTATCAGTTCTTTTTCGAGATCTTCGTTTTTTCAAAGATTTAAAATATGCTTTCCTGCTCCTTTTCTTTCTACTACCAGTTTTGACTGTTTTTGACCCAGTATACTTTTTTATTACAGTTTTTTTGGAAACTTTAGTTTCAATGCTTATTTTTTTAAGATCTTCATTTAAAATGTTGATACCTTCATTACACTTTATCATAATATCAGAGATTATTAATTTATGATCTTTTATATGTAGGTGTAGGTAATAATAATTTATACGTTAAAACCAGTTAAAACTAACGAAAAAGCTGGTAAAAGTAATTTAACTTGTATGCATTGCCAATCGCCATAGAAATTTGTAATATACTATAGATGCATCTATAGATGTGTATGATGTGTATATAGAGCAGGGATGGTTCGTAAAAAAAACATGAAAAAAACCTAATCAAAACTTGAAAATGTGGATTAGAATCAGGATTCGGAAAACTACATGATACTTTTAAAAACTACATAAACTACATTACATGTAGTTAATGTAGTTTACGTAGAGGGTGTAGTTTATGTAACCTATGTATGTAACTTTCAAATATCAAAGGTTTGAGGTGAGGTTATAATAAGTTGAAGCTTTAAAAACACATAATGTATTTAAGAAAACAGAAGAAATATGGCTTTAAATATAATATTTACATCATATTATCTCTATTACACCTCATACAAATGAAAATTATTCATAATATCAATATATAGTTGATTAACGTAGTTTTTATGTAGTTAATGAAGGGGAAAAGACGTAGTTTTTGAAGAAAAACTACACGTAGTTAATCAGGTAAATTACGTCTTAATTAATTACTTCCGAACCCTGCCTGTCGGTCAGTGGCTGAGGCTATCGCTTCGTAAGCGAATGGTCAGTGGTTCAAATCTCATGCGGACCAAGACTTTTTTATATTTTTTTTTGCTTATAGCGTAATCTTATTGCATTGGTTTCACTCTTTTTAGTTGGATTGGTTTAGTTATTTGGCGGGTTGGTTAGCGTCGTTATTTGGAGACTGTTAATTCATTGGTTAGTTGGTTATTTGGAGGGGTTGGTTGATTTTTACTAATTTATATCTGTTTTTTATTTTTTTATCAGTGTCGAGGTTAGTTGCGTTGGTTAAGTTGGTTATTTGGTGGGGTGGGTAGCGTTGGTTAGTCCTTATAAAATTCCTATATTTCATAAAGCCGTCAAGTGCGTCACATCAACGACGTCATACCTATTAACGGCATTTTAGTAAGCTACCGTTTAACGGCAGTTTAAGTACAGTGTAGTTTATGTAACCGTATGTAACTTTCAAATATCAAAGGTTTGAGGTCTTCTCAAAGAAAAAATCTGGCTTTAAATATAATATTTACATCATATTATCTCTATTACACCTCATACAAATGAAAATTATTCATAATAACAATACATAGTTTGTTAACGTAGTTTTCATGTAGTTAATAAACGGGAAAAGACGTAGTTTTTAAAGAAAAACTACACGTAGTTAATCAGGTAAATTACGTCTTAATTATCTACTTCCGAACCCTGATTATAACCTCACCTCAAACCTTTGATATTTGAAAGTTACATACATAGGTTACATAAACTACACCTTCTACATAAACTACATTAACTACATGTAGTGTAGTTTATGTAGTTTTTAAATGTAACATTAGAGTGCGTTCCACTAAGCGCTCATAATGCTCAAAATATGCCTTCGGTCGTTCCACATGACGATCGCGGACGTTGTGGTCGCGGCCTAAACGTCACTAATGACGTCATTATTTTCGCTCACACCGAGCTCACAACGACCCATCTGAATATTAGGATCGAAGTGGACGTTGAGGAATTTTGG